TAGATCTATAGACCAGAGGCGAGCTAAGTCTGGCACCCGCGCTGGGAGGATTAGCGTGAAGCATTCATTACTTTGGTTGTTTGTCTGACTGAAGGTTCGTAAGCATATTAAGCGTAACAATGTATATATATATACATATATATTTATTTTCATATTTACATGCATATACCTATATTGTGTGTATATGTATGAATGTATATATATATGCATGTATATGGATGTGTAATATATATATGTATGAATATATTCAAGCATGTATATATTATATGTATATGTAATATATACATATGTATATGTAATATATACATATGTATATGTAATATATACATATGTATATGTAATATATACATATGTATATGTAATATATACATATGTATATGTAATATATACATATGTATATGTAATATATACATATGTATATGTAATATATACATATGTATATGTAATATATACATATGTATATGTAATATATACATATGTATATGTAATATATACATATGTATATGTAATATATACATATGTATATGTAATATATACATATGTATATGAATGTATGTATGTGTATATATCAGCATATACACATGTATGTATGTATATATATATATATATATATATATATATATATATATATATATAAATGCATTGTGTATATATAAATGCATTGTGTATATATAAATGCATTGTGTATATATGTGAATGCATATGTATATATATGCATTATATATATATGAAAATATATGTATGTGTATGTATATGTGTATGCACATGTATATATATGTATGTATATATGTACATATATCTATATATATGTATCTATATGCATATATGCCTATATATATTTATATCCATAAATACACACACACACATACATAGATACATACATCATATATGCACACACACACACACACATAAATACACACACACATACATAAATACACACATAAATACATAAATACACACATAAATACACACATAACTATACACCCATACATAAATGCACACACATACATAAATACGCACACATACATAAATACACACACATACATAAATAAACATACATACATACATAAATACACATACATACATACATAAATACACACATACATACATTAAATACACACACATGCATACATAAATACACACGCATGAATACACACACACACACACACGCACACACACACAGATACACACACACACACACACACACACACACACACACACACACACACACACACACACACACACACACACACTTACACACACACACACACACACGCGCGCGCGCGCAAACACACACGCACGTACGCACACACTCACACACTTACACATATATATGTGTGCATGTGTGTATTTACATGCATTATCATGTTCATACATATATTTACATATACATATATATGTGTATATATATTTAAATGTTTCTACATACACAACTAAACGGCATATGATCAAGATTTTCAGTTATACATATAAATCAGCTGACCATGTAATGTCAAACGAAAGCTTCTTGAAGTGTCATAACCAAAAGTCTGCCTCAGAAAGTTCCTGTCATTTCACTGCTGTTCCATGACTTATTACATTTGTCATTTTGGTTGTCCAGGATATAATACGGAGGTAGTTTTGCTTAAAGTTAAGTGATAATTTTCGATTTACATCCCCGGTGAGAACTTATTAGCGTATCAGTCGAACGTCAAATGATCGTTTTCTGTCATTTTTGCTCTGAGGACACTAACTATGCGAAATGTTCTAGTGTTTATAACTTTATTTGAAGTATATATGTGCATTCGTATGTTTGTGACTTCGTGTAGGAGAGATTCCTCCCCGAGCTCGATGTTCTTTGAGAAAAAATACGAAACATTCTAGTTAGCTTTGTTCACTCGTATGTCTGACTTCATATCCTGTACATTCCTCCCTTACACTGGTGTTCTAAGAGCAGAAATACGAAAAGGTTTAATTACCAATCTCCATTCATAAGTTCTTTCTTCCTTTAAAAGGGTTTTTGACTTATCATATTTATGATGTCGTGTACTGTACTTTACTCCCTTCTCCCGATGTTCTAAGTAGAACATTCAAATACGAAACATACGAATGACCCATCTTCACTCACATGTTTAATAATTTCTTACACTGTCCGACTGGTGTTCTTAAAGTTCAAATATCTCCGCAGGGACTCCTTCAGCGTTTGGACGAGGGCGTGGTGATCGGCGATGGCGGCTTCGTGTTCGCCCTGGAGAAGCGTGGCTACGTGAAGGCGGGTCCCTGGACGCCTGAGGCCACCATCGAACATCCCGAGGCCGGTGAGTGGGTCACGGAGGGCGCGCAGGAGGGAGGGCGAAGGGGGAATGGGCAGGTAGAGAGATTAGGCTCAATGCAGGCGCGCTTGGGGATATCTCGGTGGTGCGAACCGTATGTTTATAACGCGAACTTAGAAAAACCCATAAAGTATTAATTAACTTTACTGAAGATGAGACAACAGTTTCGAAATCCTCCTGGATTAAATACGTGTATATGTTGCTGTTACGTAGACATCTAAATAAACGCTTTAGCAGGGTAGCGGAGCACACCCAGAAATATTTACATTAAATGCAATAGCCAGGTTTGTGAAAGACTCCTAACATCTAACACGATTGTGGAAATAAAAACATACACAAAAATACAAGATAAAAGGACAAGAAAGAAGCAATAATGATTTCATAAGCTCCTTACTCCCTTTAACAGCCCCTATTCCCTTCCCTTCGAGCATACACGTACCCCCTCACCTCTGGCTGCTCACCCTGGCCTCGTAGGGTACAAAAGTGTGTGCGGCTGACCGAGTGTTAGGCGGGGTGGGTGGGGGGATGAGGGGGAAGGGGGATGGTAAAGTAGGGGAGGAGGAAGAGGAAGAGTATGAGAAAGTGAAGAAGGAGAAAGAGATAGATAAGAAGGAGGAGAAGGAGAAAGAGAAAGGGAGAAGGAGAAGGATGATGACGATTAGGTAGACACGGCGACAACGAGGAGATTGTAGTAAAGGAGGAATAGAATAAAGAGGAAGAGAAGGAAAATGAGGAGGGGTTGGAGGTGAAGAAAAAAGGTTAGGAAGAAAAAATGAAGAATAGGCGGTGGAGGAGAAGAGAAAGAGCAGGAATCCGGATATATCAGTAGAATATAGATGGAGAAGTAGACTGATAAAAAAAAAGGAAAAAACAAATAGTGAAATGATATGGGACGAGTAACATATAAGATATAGACGCAATTCATAGATAAACAAAACAGAAAAAAATGGCCATCACAGTACAACTATATATACAAAACGACGTTAATAAAGATGACTCTATGGGAACCCGGGGACGTTAAGTTCATGGAGTACGCAAGGCCATTCCTTGTTAGCTGTTTTGCCTCTCTCTTTCCCCTCTCCTCTCGCCTCTACGTTTTTGGTTCTCTCTCTCTCTCTCTCTCTCTCTCTCTCTCTCTCTCTCTCTCTCTCTCTCTCTCTCTCTCTCTCTCTCTCTCTCTCTCTCTCTCTCCCTCTCCTCTCCCTCTCTCTCTCTCTCTCTCTCTCTCTCTCTCCCTCTCTCTCTCCCTCTCTCTCTCTCTCTCTCTCTCTCTCTCTCTCTCTCTCTCTCTCTCTCTCTCTATTTCTCTCTTTTTGCTTTTTCTTTATGCCTTATTTTCGCTTCGTTTTCCATACATGGCCATTCCTCCTCGGCTGTTTTGCCTTCTCCTCTCTCCTTTCTCCTCTTCTGGTCATCTTTCTCTCCCTCTTTGCTGGTTCTTTATGCCTCATTTTCGCTTCGTCTTCCATCTGTCTCCATTTCTTTCCCCTTCTTCTAGTAATGAATTGTGGTCGGCTGAATTACAGATTATATTTGCAGTATTAAATATACATTAGGTTATTTTGTTTCAGTTCAGTTCATTGAGATTTCCATTTTCTTCGGGATTTTGGTACAAAGGTAGCGAGTTGATAGTTTTAGAGAACTGTTCATCAGATTAGGAGTGAACACAGTTGCCATCTACCTGAATGTAGAGAAAGTATAAGAGGGAGAAAATTGCTTCTCAAAACGATGCATGTGATTAATGCGTTTCACTTGTTTTAATCAGATTTCTGCAGTTTTGACGCGGATTTCGCCTAAACGCGCAGATTACATGTCTTCTGTAACTTAATACCTTTCTCATTTATACCTTTTCTGCATACTCTCTACGTTTATTAATTAAGAATTGAAAAGCAACGAAAAGATACAGAATAAAAATGTATATGCCGTAATGACAGGAATGGTCTTCAATGACTAAGAACCTTAGGTGATAAATCGTCTATATAGGGTGGTTTTGTGGACGAAAGGGTAAGGTGTTATAACATATTCATGAGAATGTAAATTACATTAAAGGTTGTTAACTTGCTCGTGGGAATGTAAATGACATTAGATATTAATTATAAACCATTATCAGTATAACGTTTAGCAGAGTGAAAAAACTCTCACTCCTATATGTCATTGAATCAAGGAATCACTCCTCTGCCATATCATTTCTCTATAAACTATAATCTTTCTCACTCCTCTCTATAAACTTACTCTTATCTATCAGTGAATCACGAAATCTTTCTCTCTCACTCTCTATAAACTCACTCCTCCTATCTGTCAGAGAATCACGGAATCTCTCTATCTCTCTCACTCTCTTTCTCTCTCTCTCTCTCTCTCTCTCTCTCTCTCTCTCTCTCTCTCTCTCTCTCTCTCTCCCTCTCCCTCTCCCTCTCCCTCTCCCTCTCTCTCTCTCTCTTACTTCTCTCTATAAATTCCTATCTGTCAGTGAATCACGGAATCTCTCTCTCTCTCTCTCTCTCTCTCTCTCTCTCACTTCTCTCTATAAATTCCTATCTGTCAGTGAATCACGGAATCTCTCTCTCTCTCTCTCTCTCTCTCTCTCTCTCTCTCTCTCTCTCTCTCTCTCTCTCTCTCTCTCTCTCTCTCTTACTTCTCTCTATAAATTCCTATCTATCAGTGAATCACAGAATCTCTCTCTCTCTCTCCCTCTCTCTCTCTCTCTCTCTCTCTCTCTCTCTCTCTCTCTCTCTCTCTCTCTCTCTCTCTCTCTCTCTCTCTCTTACTTCTCTCTATAAATTCCTATCTGTCAGTGAATCACAGAATCTCTCTCTCTCTCTCCCTCTCTCCCTCTCTCTCTCTCTCTCTCTCTCTCTCTCTCTCTCTCTCTCTCTCTCTCTCTCTCTCTCTCTCTTACTTCTCTCTATAAATTCCTATCTGTCAGTGAATCACAGAATCTCTCTCTCTCTCTCTCTCTCTCTCTCTCTCTCTCTCTCTCTCTCTCTCTCTCTCTCTCTCTCTCTCTCTCTCTTACTTCTCTCTATAAATTCCTATCTGTCAGTGAATCACGGAATCTCTCTCTCTCTCTCTCTCTCTCTCTCTCTCTCTCTCTCTCTCTCTCTCTCTCTCTCTCTCTCTCTCTCTCTCTCTCTCTCTCTTACTTCTCTCTCCTCTCCTCTCCTCTCCTTTCTATAAACTCACTCCTATCTGCCAGTGAATCACGGAATCTCTTTCTCTCACTCCGCAGTACGACAGCTTCACCGGGAGTTCTTGCGTGCTGGAGCTGACGTGATGCAGGCGTTCACCTTCTACGCCTCGGATGACAAACTGGCCAACAGGGGTAACGAGTCAAGCAAAAAGTATACGGTGAGTCTTGCATGGTTTTTTGTATAGCTGTTTGATAAGCAAAGTGATATTTGTAAAGTCCTGGTCTTTTCGCTGTCTTGGTAGGGATTAAAAACAAATATTACGATGGTGATATCTGCGTTAGGAATTCGAAGGGTGTTTTTAAGCAACTTGTAATCTGTTTCAGTGTCGAGGTATCAACGACGCAGCTTGCAGACTCGCCCGTGAGGTTGCAGAGGAGGGTGATGGCCTGGTTGCCGGAGGCCTCTCCCAGACCCCTACCTACCTGTCAGGTGAGTCTCCCTACCTGCCTTGTAGAAGCCAGCTCGCGAAATCACTTGTACTTGAGATTATATTTTTCCTATTTCTTAATGTCTTGGCGGAATTAGGGATAAAGTTCTTGATGTCTGGATGAAATTAGCGAGCCGTTTCTTTATTAATGTTTTGAAGAAATTAACGTCACATTTCTTAGTGTCTTGACGAAATCAACGAGTTATTTCTTAATGCTTGGACGAAATTGGCGAGCTTTCAATACCTCAGGTACTTGCAATAAAATGCCTTAACGCTGTTTCGCCTCAAGGAAACGCATTTCTATTTTAATCTTTATTATACAAAGACCTTTAAACCCCCTTAATTGGAACACCCATTTCCCAGGTCTTGGCAAGGAGAAGACGCAGAGGGAATTCCAGAAGCAAGTAGACGTCTTCGTGGAAAATAAGGTGGACTTCCTTATTGCTGAGGTAATTCGATCTTCCTTTAAAATCCATAAGTGCGAAAATGCTTGATCTTTTCAAGCCATATTGTCACTTAAGGACATGTTCATGAGAGATGTTCTCGAGGAATGTCAGCTGCTGGAGATAAGATAAGAGGCTGAATCATAGGGTATTTTCTAGCCCGTAGACGTGGGTAACGGGAGAGACTGATATGGGGAAGATAAGGGCTGTGGGGTGTCAGATCTGTTGCTTAGATGCGTGTGCGTGCGTGCATGCGCGCACGCGTGTGTGTGTGTGTGTGCATATGTATATATGTGTGTATACATATGTATATGTGTATATATACATGTATATGTGTATATATACATATGTATATATATACACAGTGCACACACACACACACGCACAGTATATATATATATATATATATATATATATATATATATATATATATATATATATAATCACATTTAACCCAATGGTGCCGGGGAAAATGAACAAAAAATAGGGAAAATATTGTGCCCACTTTCTAGGTTTTTCGTGAAATGTCTGCCGATAGATGGCTCTGCTAGCGCCTGATTTAAATGGCGGGAAAAATGTATTTTTCACTAGTGCTATGAAAATCGATGGTGTTATTTTTATCATAAACATTATAATTCTTATAATTTTTTTAACATTAGTAACAGCAAAATAAGATTACGTAAAATATTTTGTAAATCAAAGAAACGGGTAAACGGGCGAGACGGGCGGTGCTCGTAACTGGCTCATTGGGGAGTTAGTACAAGTGTTGCCATCTATGCGTAAAAACAATCAAACAAGTACTCACGGTGGGCATAGCACGACGTACACGTCATACCCGGCACCAAGGGGTTAAGCCACACCAGCTTCAATATACACGTGCAGCTACAGCTCTCTGTATATTATCCTATTCTCACATAACCACTTCCTCCGCAGTACTTCGAGCACGTGGAGGAGATGGAGTGGGCCATCGAGGTGTGCCTTAAGTCCGGCATGCCCGTCGTGGCCTCCATGTGCATTGGACCCGAGGGCGACCTGCACGGCATCTCGGCTGGGGAGTGCGGCGTCAGGATGGCCAAGGCTGGGGCCCACGTGGGTGAGTGAAGGACACAAGGGCACGGCCGGTTGCAGGCTGTTGCAGGAAAGGGGCCTGGGTTCGAGGGTGTTTGATGATACGATTTGCGAATATGTTCTGCTGTTCATAACTTGCCTGGGGTTCAGATTCACGTAGAGAATTATAGGAGAAGGTTAGCTAAATCATATCCATTAGATTAGAAAATGCAGGTAGCTATTAAAACAAGAATGAGGGATTAGTTATTGGAAAATGAATCTAAGTCACTTTATGAGGCTATTATATCAAAGGGAGCCAACGCAGGAGTTATGCTTAATATCCTGACAATTACACTTTGATTTGTCTTTTGTACAACACATTAACGATTCTATACCTTGCGATTTCTCTTCATTACATTACAGCTGAAATATGTCACTCCCATGTTAGAAACAGTAACTAAAATACTTCACAAAGAAAGACATTCAGTAATAACCTAATGTCTTTAATTACTAAGCTAATAAACTTTACTTATTATGATTGCTTACGCTATTCATTAACTATCAATATTTAATACAAAATTCCCAAGGAAGACTTACATCTCACACCGATATCAAGGTGAACATAAAAAAGGAAAGTTTTCATCCATTAAAAAAATACCTCCCTACTATAAGCATTCATTTTTAAAACTTTTCAAAGAGTTTATGAGCATTTTTTAAAGATGTTCAACTTCAGCGTGCTTAATATTGACTCTAGTGCTTCCTGTGTTCAAATGCTCCTCCTACAAAACTTCAAAACATTTTTAGGAGTTGTTTATGCTTGCTGTTCCCGCTAAAAAAAATCTAGGGTGGGAAGCCTTAATGCGAAGAGATATTCCTATCTATCTGTTTATCCATCCATCCATCTGTTTATTTACCTCCCCCTCTTTCTCTACCTTTTTATCATTCTACTTATCTATCAACCTATATCTGTATGAATGCATTTTCAAAAGGATCAGATTCTCATAGACTTTCTTCCTGCATCTTCAGTGGGCATCAACTGCCACTTCGACCCGTTCGTGACCGTGCAAGGACTCCGCCTCATGAAAGCCGCCTTGGACCGAGAGGGGCTCAAGGTCCACCTCATCGCCCAGCCTCTCGCCTTCCACACTCCCGACGCAGGCAAACAGGGCTTCATCGACCTCCCCGAGTTCCCCTTCGGTATGTTCTCGCTCTTGTGCTGGACGGGGAAATTGCGTCTGTTTAAAAATTGTGTTTAATAGGATGACGTTTCGTTTCCATTTTCTTAAAATAAAGCTCTTTCGAGGTCACTAAGGTAACCTATTCGACTGGCTCCTCCTTACTCTGCAGTTCCGACTTGGTGCATAATGTCCAATACTCTTTCCTTATTACACTTAACTTCTGGTCCGTTCATTATAACACTACGTTTTAAAGATTCACCCACACACGTCTTTATTTCCCCCATGCCAGAACACTGAATACTTCCACACGCCCTTAGTTCTCTTTGTCACTCTAACGAAATGTTGACTGTTGTCTTCCGTCAGGTCTGGAGCCTCGTATCTGCACGCGGTGGGACATGCACAAGTACGCCCGCGAGTGTTACGACCTCGGCGTCCGCTACATCGGCGGCTGCTGCGGGTTCGAGCCCTACCACATCCGCGCGGTGGCCGAGGAGCTGGCCAAGGAGCGAGGGAAGTTCCCGAAGGGCTGCGAGAAACACGAGCCCTGGGCTGGCGGTCTCAAGATGCACACGAAGCCCTGGGTTAGAGCGAGGTGAATACAGAGCCCCGTATCTGTATAATTCTTGGGTTTAACATATCAGCTTTCACTTTTCTTTTCTCTTCTTTTCCTCAATGACTATTTTTAAATCTCCAGAGCTGGACGCGAGTACTGGGAGAACCTCCGACCTTCCTCCGGCCGACCATACAGCGCCGCCATGTCCAAGCCTGACAACTGGGGGGTGACCGCCGGCGATGACATCCTCAAGCAGAAGACCGCAAGCACCACCGAAGACGAGATCAAACTCCTCAAGACCAAGAAGACCAAAGCCTAAGGGAATGACGCTAAAGAAGGGAGAAAGAGAGAGAGGGAGAGAGAGAAAGACAGGAAGAGGAGAAGGAACATTGGATAGAAATAATTTAGCCAGATTAATCGTAATCAGCGTAGGCCGATTGCGTTGAAGAAATAACTTAAAAAAAAAACTTGTGAGAATAGACCTCTGAGAGGGATTCTTTTCTAGGATGAGTTTTATACATCCATTACTGTACGTACAATCAGTATGCCTTTTGAGATTTTAAGATTGCAAAAAAAGATTGCAAATTGAATGTGTACGTGTGCTTGGCGTAAGTGTTTGCTGTTGATTCCTTACACACCAGGTAATGTGAAGTGTGGTTTTTATCTTAGGCAGTTTGTGTATGGTGTGGAAATATGAATAATTGTATTCATATAAATATGGGCAGTTTGAGTGCATGAAACTTTAACTGTGGAATGTATGATCAGTATATGAAATAATGACGTTGGCTTCGTGTTTTCATAAACATGAGGATTAATTGCATGTAAACAAATAAAATATTTTTAATGTATAAA